CATTCTTACAACCGAATTCTGCACAACAGAAGAAAAAAAAGACAGAAACCGCTGGTGTACTCAACAGCACAAATGAATCCCGATGAGATTATGCAGAACAAGTCAGATGTAAAAGAGTGCACACTCTGCCATTACATCCATAGGAAGCTCAAAACCAGGCAAAACTAATCTGTGGTGATGGAGAGTGGAGAGAAGCTTTCTCTGAGAGGACACTGACCAGGAGACATCACCGGCAATCTTCTAGGGTGCTGACATTGTCGTATTTTACACAGTGTATAAATAATCCATCAAGCTGTAGACTTAAGGTCTGTGCATTTGTGTGAATGTTACTCTGATTAACAGAAGTCAGGGAGAGACAATTCCCATCACAGGGACAAGATGACAGTCAGAAGTGACGGCATGAATTGTTGCCTCTAAGACCAGAAAGAGCATTCGGAGCCCACTGACCACATTTGAAGGTGCTTCTCTGATCCTTTACCAGGACCAGAAGGGTGGGGGGCTCTGAGGGTCATCCAGGCAAGATCACACCAAGGCAATCTCACTGGAGCACAGGCAGCTCTGCTTTTCAGGCCTTATGCCCCAGCGGGTCCCCTCCTGCTCAGCTTGGCCAGAGGGGGTCAGGATGCTGGGAGGAGCCAGTGGGATCCCACATCAGAAATCCTGAGGGTTCACCCTGGAGGGAGCAGCTCAGTTGCTGGAGCCTCATCCCATAAACCTAATGGTTGTGATTTCAATCCCTGATTACAGGACATTCCTAATTGTAGTTATTGATCTATGTATCTCTCTTATATCTATGTTTCTCTCCCTCTTTCTTCCACCTTCCCCCCTCACTCTAAAATATGTGGGCAGGAAGTCCCTAGGGTGTCACAACAAAGCCAGAACACTCTTTGGCACATCACTAGTCCCTTTTGAAAACAGCTCTTTTCCTGTCCCCCAGCCCTGTCTGAGACTGTGCACCAGTTAGCTTATTCTGTACAATAAACCGCCCCAACCTTCCTGGTCTGAGACGATTAATTCTGACTACTGCTCATGAGACCAGGGGCCAGCAGGATGGTCCTCTGCTCTCATTGGGTTCACTCATGCCTGTGCGGTCACATGTGGGGCAGATAAGCTGGTCAGGCAGACGGACTCTTCCTGAGCTCATGCTCCTTCCTCACTCATAACTGAGATCAAAATTGCGCGTCTTAAACATCCAGTGGACCAAAGAGGCAACACATGGAGTCCAGTTTTCAGACGGCTCCTATCCCGAGGGCAGATGGCGGCAGTGTTGCCTCTTGCGCGTGCGCAGCCCTAAAGGACAGTGAGGAGACGAGTTTCTCCAGCTGATCGTCCCCAAACGCTCCATCGCAACCACGTTCCCTGGAGCGAGAGAACCATAGAGATGGACAACTGGCTAATGGTTTGGCTGGAATAAAGGACTGGGTAGTTAGCAAAATATGTCTGGGGGATGCTGAGATGGGGCGTGTGGAAGACTATGTGGATGGACGTCTCAGAACGGACCTGCAGTTGGAGAAGATTTGTGTCCCTGTTGGAAGTTCACCAGAAAGACCCGCTGCACAAGCTGGGTCATCAGACATCCCCTATCCCCTCCACCCCAATTGGTGCCCTTTGGAGCGTTGAACAATGTGGTCTCGGTGGCAGGGATAGAGGGTGAGCATGGGATCAGTGACAGGGACTTCACCTCACCCAGGCTGACCTGGCTATCGCCACTGCTGAGAGCCCAGCTCTCCAATGGCAGAGACCAAACGTGGGCACCATTGTCTGGGGCCCAGCCAGCCACGTCCCACGGTCACAGACACACTGAATGCCTCACACAGCATGAAGGCTATCCCTCCACAGGGAAAGAGGGGGGCAGTGGGTTTTCTGGTCTTACCGGGCACCACCCAACAGGAGGAGTGGCCTCCAGACCAGCCAGGTAGCCTGTTGAAGGCTGAGTGCGGGGCCAGCTCACAGGCCACGCTGGGTGCACTATGTCATGACTCTGCACCTGGTGCCGGGGTCCCTCCCCAGACTGTGGCGTGGGAGAGAGTGGTTGGCCCCAGCAAAGAAAAGTAATTCTTCAGCAGTCCCGAAAGCCTAGATGAAGTGACATACTGCTGGCTGGGCTGGTGACGCTCTCTGTAGCTGTGAGATTTCCATGGGCACCGCCCAGCCTCTCTGGCATGGGGACAGAGAGGGCGGCTTCAGCACGAAAATCCGAGGTTGTGCGGGACAGCTTCTTGCAGCATCTCCAAGTCCTCTCTGCCCTCCTCTGCCCGCAGCCACCGCTGGGGGGCCCGTCCACAGGGTTTCAGCTGGTTCCACACCAGGACCATGGGGAGCGCTTCCCCAGAGTGGAGGTGATGTGCTCCCCTCTTAAAAAGCAAATCAGACACTCAATATATGGCTCAGCAATTCTCCTAGGTCACCACCCAAGAGAAATGGAAACATATGGCCCTGCACAGACTTGCACATAAGTATTCATAGCGAGAGTCTGATCATAGCCAAATTGGAAGCAATTAAATGTTCATCAGCTGCTGGATGGACGACAGAATGTGCTCCCTGCCTGGACTCCATCTCAGCAATACAGACAAATGACCTCCTGACACCCAGTCACTGGGGTCAACCTCCAAACACCACGGGAAGTGGAGGAAGCCAGACCCCAGACACCACATGCTGCCTGGGGGCGTGTCCGTGGAGTTTTCAGAGCAGGTGGATCCACGTCAGCAGTTCCCTGGGGCAGGGGGTGGGGGCAGGCCGTGCTGGCACCGAGGGGTGAGGGACGGATTTCCGGAGATGGCAGTGTCTGAAACTGGGTTGCGGGTGGTCCCACAACTGCTTACTGAAGCCTCAGACTGCACTCTCACATGATGAATTTTATAGTGGGCACCTTGTACCTTAGAACTCACTGGCTCCTAACCTGCTGAAATAGCTTTATGTTTAATATTGCCCACCTTGGCCCCCAGAATCTCAGCCCCTGGTTCTCTGGCATTTCCAAGCATCTGTGCTGGGCCCCAGTGCATCTTCAGACGGGCAGTGTGGAGCAGATGAGGGCAGGCCGGCCCTGTGGGGGCCGTCATGCTACAGTCATGTATGTGCAGGTGTTAGCTCAGTGAGGTCAGTGTGCACACATGGCGGGGGGAGACCCTTCTGGGGCCCTCTCCAGGGTCAGACTGTGGGCCTCCCAGCCCAGCATGCCAACGCCCTGATCTGGCTGAACAATAAGACCGGCTGCTGACTGGTGCTCCAGGGCGGCCCGACCAGCTCCTTGGTGCTGGGGAGCTCCCACCAGTGGCTGGGGGCAAACAGGCCCTGTGACCTGATGGCCTCAGCACCCTCCTCTGGGAGAGTCAACAAGAGCGTGTGGCTGGCCGGGGCCATCCCAGGCTCCTCTCCCCTGGGTTCACATCAGGGAAAGTTCTAGTTGAGTGTGTTCTTTCCGACATTGGTCTTATCCATTTCTTTCCCCAGGAAGCAGACTGAGATGGAGTTGAAGGAGCAGATGGTTATCCCCGGGGGCCCTAGGGACCCTCACCTGTGGAAAGGAGGGGTGGACACAGGATTGGGCAGAGGGAGACCCACATGCTGGCCCCAGAGATGCCCAGCACTGTGTGAAAATGGCCCATCATGGGGTACGGGCCACCCTGGAAGGGGGGCCATGACCCAGGTGATTTTCTGGAGCTGAGGCGGAGCCTGGACCAAAGACCATTCTGCTGACCACACTCCCATTGTGGGTGGCAAGTCCCTCCTTCAATAGCACCCAGGCTGCGCATCACCCTGTTCAGGACACACACCTCGCCCCTCCCACCAAGGCATCTGTCTATCTCTCGTTTTCCATCGGTACCAGTTTCAGAGGTGGTCAAAATGAAAAATGAAAGCCCGGTCCTTTTTTAAAAAGATTTTATTTATTTATCTTTAGAGGAGAAAAGAAGGGAAACATCAATGTGTGGTTGCCTCTCATGAGTCCCCTGTTGGGAACTGGCCTGCAACCCAGGTATGTGCCCTGACTGGGAATCGAACCACGATTGTGTGGTTCTATGCCCGCGCTCAATCCACCATCCACTGAGCTACAACAGCCAGAGCGAAAGCCCGGTTCTTAAATGTATAACACAGAGACCTGAGATTACAAAGGAAACAAAACTTGTTTATGTTCAGGTTCAAAATGTTACAGCGAATCTGTGACACCAACGTGCTACCTAAAAGCACTAGATGACGAGATCTAGGGGCAGGTGCAGGGAGAGCCCTCGGCACAGAGTGGGGGGGGGCGCCTAGGCGACGGGCAGAGGCCTTGCCACAGCTGAGAGGGGGCACCTGGCATTTGGAGGTGTGACAAGGCCCCGGGAACCGCAAATCCCTGTGGTTTGTTCCTCCCTCCTAGCTGAAGGAAAGGCTGACTTTGGGTAGGAAGTTAGAGAAAGATAAAGGTCTCTCCCTATGTTTGCTCCAGGTGCCCAGAGAGTAAACACTGGCGTGGTGGAGGAGGAGGGACACCAGAAACTTGGGGCTCCAGAACAGAGCTTTTGAGCAAAGTGGACAAGGAAGCATGAGTGGGGGACAAGAGGACGGTGGGGAGTCCTGCCCAGTCCTGCCACTGCCTCTCCTGGCCTGGAGGGTCCCAGGGCCCTGCTGCACCCCCCAGGGTACTGGGACTGGAACCACAGAGTCCTCAGTTGGGCCGCAGCTTCTTTCTCTCTCCCTCTCTCCACACCTTCTGTCTGTCTTATCTGTCTGTCTGTCCGTCTCTGCCTCTCCCTCTCTCTGACTCTCTGACAGACTCAGGCCGCCACGCGGCCTCCCTTTCTCCCCACGCGTTCGTTCATCAGCCAACGCAGTGACCTCGACCCAATGGCCCCTGCTAATGACAGGGCGCCCCGCGGCCAGGGCCTGACCCGCAGCGCCGGCCGTGACCACACACTCGCCCGCCCTCTTAGGCAGCGCTCGGCCCGCCGCTCCGCTCCGGCCATAAAAAGACCGGCTCCCAGACCCAGCCAGGCCGCAGAACTCCGACCCGAGCCCGCGCCATGGCGGTCCCCAGCCTCGCCGGCTGCCTGCTCGGCCTGCTGGCGCTGACCTCCGCCTGCTACATCACCAACTGCCCCGTGGGCGGCAAGAGGGCCGCGATGGACCTCGACGTCCGCAAGGTGAGCTCCCACACCCTCGCTCCTCGGCGCGGGGCCGGGCACCCGAGGCCCGGGGGCCCCGCTGTTTCCTTGGCCTCGCCGACCCGCGCCCAGCCCCGCAGCCGCCAGGCCCGGGACCCAAGGCAGGTCCTCGGTGTGGCTTCCCCTCCTGGGCCCGCTTGGGGGCCACGGCTGAGCCCGGAGGACCGAGCCTCCTGCGCTCCCCGGGCCGCGCTCCCCACCCACGAGGCCCAGACCCCGCGCCCCGGCTCAGCCCCGGGCCGCTCATCCCCGGCTGTCCCGCCAGTGCCTCCCCTGCGGCCCCGGGGACCAGGGGCGCTGCTTCGGGCCCAGCATCTGCTGCGGGGACGAGCTGGGCTGCTTCCTGGGCACGGCCGAGGCGCTGCGCTGCCAGGAGGAGACCTACCTGCCGTCGCCCTGCCAGTCGGGCCAGAAGCCCTGCGGGGACGCGGGCCGCTGCGCCGCCAGCGGCATCTGCTGCAGCCCCGGTGAGCGGGCGCGGCCGGGGACGGGCTGGGGGACACGGGGGGCAGGGGCTGGGGACCGCACCGACGACCCGGGGACCGGACGGGCACGCGCCACGGCCCTGACCCGCGTGTCTCCTCGCAGACGGCTGCCGCACCGACCCCGCCTGCGACCCCCAGGCCGCCTTCTCCCAGCGCTGAGCCTGGGCCCTGGACACAGTCGGGCCGCACCCCCGCTCCCTCCACAGCCGCCCCAGGAAACGAGAATCAAATAAAGCGCTTGCCCCCTTCCAACTCGCCCGGAGTCTCAGTGTCAGTTCTGGGAGGGGAGCCTGGGGGGAGTGGTGGGGGCTGTGAAGGGCGTGGCTGGGCCTGTGTGTGCAGCTCTGGGCAACTCAGCGGGACGGGGTCCGGACGAAGGGGAGATGTGCACGCGGAGAGTCGGTGAACAGATTGGAGAAGCAGGCGCGGCTCAGCCGCGGCGCCGGCCGTCCTGAGTGGGGCAGTGAAGGCTCTTCCCGGAGGCTGGTTCTGCTCCGTGTCTCGGCCGGGGAGCAAGTGAACAGCTGTGCCCAGTTTGTGAGCATTCGTCTGCCTGCACATGTCATTGGTTCACCTTTGTGTGTATGCCACACCTGCCACAAGCTCTTGAAAACAGGAAAAGTTCTGTACGAAGAGGCACGAGGAGAACAGAGAGGAGGACCAACAGGGGCCCAGACACGGGGAGGGGTCCCTCCTGTGGCCCCGCGCCCGGGGCTGCCCTGAGGGTTATTCAGGAAAAGAGCAGATGACTCAGAGCAAAGTGCGGTTCACTCGGTCTTGGAGGACGGGATGCTCGCCCACGGGAATCTGAGGGAGGTCGTGGGAGGCCGGTGGTCGCTTGGAAAGCACCCAGGACACCGCGCTCCTCCACTAGAGAGACACCTGGTCTTGCGTTTCCCAGCCTGCATGTCCACCCGACACAGCAGAGGAGAACTCGGGGTCTCCCCCACCCCCGGACCTTGCTCTGGGCCATGAGTGCCCAGCATGCACTCCACAGCCCGGTGCTTACACAGAGCAGAGGGGCGTTCGTCCAGCTTTCCTCACCTTGGGACTCAGTCCAGCGTCCCCTCACCCTTTCTGACACCCTGCCACCCACTGTCCCATGCTTTCCCAAAATCCAGAAGCCAGTACTGCTTTCTTTTCGGGCATCAACAACACAGGGGCTGATTGTCACCTCTTCTCCTGGGGACGTCCCAGAGGTGGCAGCAAGCTAGGCCTGAGGGGTGAGCTGGGAGAACTTCTAGGAGACGGACTCAGGACCAAGTGAAGCTGTTGGGTGGCCAGGACGGCCCACCCAGGGCGAGCCTGCTCTCACTCGTCACTCTCCCTCCTGGCTCAGTCCCAGGGCCTCTGGTCCTTGTGGGAACCCCCTGACCCCCCCTGCAGACCCCAGAGTGCTGGGGCTGGTCCGGGGCGGCAGTTCCCAACTCTCCCTCCATTTAACTGCTGCGTTGTGAACCCACTCACTGCCCCCACTCCCCGGTAGCATGCCTCCCTGCACGCATCTCAGAAAGTATAGAACTAGTCTCGGCAGTAATACAGGGAAAAGGGGAATGACAAGCAACAGAGGAGTTTTATTTCATTGTGGAACTAAACAGGCAAGGTGACTCTAGGTGACATACACCCAGGAAAGTCAGAGGATCACACCTGCCTGTAAGGGACACAGAACAAGGTTGGAAGCTGTTCTGTCCACAAAGTTCAGGACGATAGGAGGGTGGAAGGGCCAGGAGGATTGATATTCTCTCTGCCTCAGGGAAAAAGGTCTCAGGTATCAATGAACTGCACAGATGGATTCGTGGAGCATCTGGGGATATTCAAGTAACGCCTGAGTATTGGGTGGTACAGGCACCTGTGCTTCACTTTAGAGGCTTCACAGATGATGCGTTTTTTACAAACTGAAGGCAAGACCCTCCACCAACAAGAAGCTCGCTGTTCTGCCGCACTCACTGCCCTGGGCCCGAGCCTGCCAGGTCTCCCGGGTGCGCGTGCAGGGACCTGTGGTCGAGAGTTGCAGTGTGTGCCAACAGTCTGCGGTCATGGCTATGAGAGGACCCGTGTCTGTGGAGAAGTGCCTGGAAGTTTCCCAGGTGAACGGTATGACAGTGGGATTGACCTCGAGGTGCCCGGGGGTGGGAGGGGAGTCCAGGTGGAGATGAGACAAAGCAGCTGGTGCTGGCAGCTGTCATAGCTCAGGGGGTGGGGGCCTGAGGCCTCTCAGTCTAGTGGCTCCACTTTTTGGTGTGTGTGAGATTTCTTGTAATAAGAGCTACCAAACCCAAAGTGGTAGGAGAGGTAAATGTTCTACGAAAAGATGCCCCAAGTTTGCTTTGCTGAAAATGGTGCAGCCCTGACTGGTATAACACAGTGGATTGAGTGCAGGCCTGCAAAACCAAAGAGTCACTGGTTCCATTCCCAGTCAGGGCACATGCCTGGGTCGCAGACCAGATCCCCAGTAAGGGGTGTGGGAGAGGCAACCATACAATGATGTTTCTCTCCCTCTCTTTCTCCCTCCCTTCCCCTCTCTCTAAAATAAATAAATAAAATCTGTTTTAAAAATGGTGAAAATCAGCCCTGGCTTGTGTGGCTCAGTGGATTGACTGCCGGCTTGGGAATCAAAGGGTCGCCAGTTCAATTCCCAGTCGGGGAACATGCTTGGGTTATGGGCCAAGTCCTCAGTAGGGGCGCGAGAGAGGCAACCACACATGGATGTTTCCCTCTCTCTCTCCCACCCCCTCTCTCTAAAATAAAAAAATTTTTAAATGGTGCAAATCAGTACATATGAATTATGAAATAACACTAGTTTATAAAACAAACCAACCTCTGTGTGCACCCTGAGGACTGGGCCACAAAGGTGAGCCCGCGGAGCTGGGTGAGCCTTCAGGCCAGGGCGTCTGGTCTGAAAACTAGAGACACCTCCTGCATCAGTGGGCACTCACTGCTGTGATTCCTCTTCATGTCACACGGTCAACCCCGGGGGACCCTGCAGCACAGGGGCTCTTGAGAGACCAGGACCACAGATTTGACCCCAAAAGACAAAGAACGCAGGCGAGGAGAGAGACCGCATCAGCCAACACCAGCGGGGCTCAAAGCCCTCACGACCCCTGGCCCCGCCCTTCAAGGCAGCAGGCTCAGGGGTGACAACAAAGCTGATGTTTAAGGCCCTGAGAGAGCTTGACCTTGGCTTGGTGCCCGAACCTGCCCCTCCCCCACCCCCAGGGCTGGCTGAGGCTGTCACCAGGCTGTGCCCTAAGGCAGTTTGTTGGGGTCACAGCTCAGAGCGCCTCCTCTCAGCTGCGGTCCATGCTGGCCTCCAGTCAGCAGAGGATTCTGGAGGAGGGGGAGCCTCTTGTGTCCCCAAGACCTGGAGCAAGACATCCAAAGAGAGGCCGCAGGGGACACAGCTGGTAGGGAGAGAGGATGGGACATAATAAGGGCTGGAGGGGCAGAAGGCGGAGGGAGGGTGTAGGGGACAAAGAGAGAAGCAAGAAAGGACCCAGGAGTTGGGGACGAAGGGAAGGGAGGCGAGTGAGGGGACGGGGGTAAAGAGCAGAAGGGAGAGAAAGGACAAAGAAGGACAGAGGGACGGAGAACAGTGTCAGCCTCACTTTATGTGACGTCTTTGATCTGAAGATGCATGTTTCACAGGGTGGACAGTCCTTGTGTCCTGGAGCGAATGGGAGTGTGTGTGTGAGTGTGTGTGTGTGAGTGTGTGTGCGTGTGAGTGTGTGTGAGTGTGTGTGAGTGTGAGTGTGTGAGTGTGTGTGTGCCTGTCTCTCCTGGAGTCTGTATGTCTGCACCTGTGAGTGTGTCTGTGGTTGTGAACGTGTATCCCAGGGCCTACAGTGTGTCTGTGACTGTGGTCACGATTCTCGGGGTATGTCACTAAATTATTTTCATGTCTGTGTGTGTGTGTGTGCTTCCCACGGCTACACGGGGTGGAGACACGTGGCCGGGGTCTCAGCGAGGTCTGTCTGTCAGGCTGGCTGAGAAGCCAGCTGGGGGGGCCTGGCTTCCTCAGCCACAGACGGCACCTGGCCCTGTGCTGGGTCTGGGGGTGCCGGTCCCACTCCCCCACCCCTTGCACACCTGCACACCCACAGCCACACACAAACATGGCACAACCATGATGAAACAGACATTGCATCCGGAATCTGGGGTCTTGGAAGGGTCCCCAAGGCTGCTTGTCCCTCAGTCTCCTGGGATGTAAATGGAAACCAGACCCCTGGTCCCTTTTTGGTTTGTCCCTTCTGTCTTTCTCTCTGTCACCCTCAACGTCTGCCTTCTCTCTCTCCCCCCCACCCCATCTCTACATCGCTCCCTACCTTGTCCCCAGAATTCTTCCCCCCACCTTGCTCCCTTCACTTCTGTCCCTCTGCCTGGGGACCTCACCCCTGCAGGCTGACTCTGGGCCTTGGCTGCCCCACTTCACCCCCAGGTGGCCTGTCCCAGTCCCAGCAGCTCTGCTGGCCCAGGATCGCTTTTCTTAAGGGGCCTGTCTCTTCTCTTGGGTGGATCTGTCTGCTCTTTGGGCCCAGGGACAGGTCGGGCAGGCGTGTGTTGGGGAGAGGTTCCCGCCCGCTCCCCGACCTCTCCCCTCCCCCTCCTCAGGGATGGAGACAGACACCAACCAGTGCGTTTTAAAAGTTTATTTTTAGAGTTTCACGGGGTGGGGAGGGGGTGGACCGCGACAGGCAGGGGCTCAGTGGACGCCGGGCGGGGCGGGCTCGGGCGCCCGCGCCAGCTGCACCAGCCGCAGCAGCAAGGCCCCGGTGGGCCCGTCCAGCTGGGTCGCGTTGCTCTGGTCGGCGGAGCGCGCGCGGCGGTGGAAGCCCGCGCCGTCCCGGCACTCGGGCTCGTAGGCGCAGCTCTCTGCGGGGAGCAGGGGCTGAGCGCGCCCGGGCCCCCCGGGACCAGACCCAGATCTCCCCGTCCGCCCGCTCACACCCCGGGGCCACCCCGGCCCGCGGGACCCGGCCCGCCCCGCCCGCCGCGGCCCCGCACCTTCATCGCAGCAGACGCCGTTGGCCGCGCAGCGGCCCCCGTTTCCGCAGGGCTTCTGGCCGGACTGGCAGGGCGACGGCAGGTAGGTCTCCTCCTGGCAGCGCAGCGCCTCGGCCGTGCCCAGGAAGCAGCCCAGCTCGTCCCCGCAGCAGATGCTGGGCCCGAAGCAGCGCCCTTTGCCCCCGGGGCCGCAGGGGAGGCACTGGGGAAGGAAGGGGCGAGCCCGTTGGGGGCTGAGCCGGGGCTGGGGGTCAGAGCCCCCCTGTGTGGGGAGGGCGGGCATGGACCCGAGTTTCCGGGTCGCCCTGGCGCTACTTTGGCCCCAAAGGGGGTCAAAGAGCAGAGCCCACATCCTCCAACCTCCCTTGATTTACAGGTGACTCAGAGTGACTCTTGGTGTCACACTGTGCGTCCTCCCCCACACCCCCACTCCACCCCCACTGAGGTGAGGGTCTCCCATGGGCTGCAGCCGGGGGGACCTTTCTCCTCAGCCGTGGGGCCTCCTGGTGTGCACCCCTCTCTCAGCTGCCCTCCACTGTCTCTGAAATGCAGCCCTATCTCTCCTGCCCCCATTACTCAAGCTTGATCTCCAGGTCACCCCCCATGCAGACAGGCCACTGCCCCCTCCGATACCTCCAGCCCCTTCCTCCCACTTCCTGTCCCCTCTCTGGCCTTCTCTGCCCACCTGCCTACGCACTCACCAGGTAGGTGGCTGGGGCCTGAGCCCTAGAAAGGAGCGGGAGGCCCCTAGGTGACCCAGGCTCCTCAGGCACCAAGCAGAGCCCAGGGTCATCTGCTGCTCGCTGGCCTACCCACTTCAGTTTATTCAACAGCTCAGGGCTGAGCTTCCTGTACCTGAGCAGAATGGGCATTGAGCATGGTGCCTGGATTTCCTTCAGCTCGAATGAAAACGGAAGAGTAGAGAATGGAGAGGACATGCAGCAGGACAGAAGTGGGCTAGGTGCCTAGCAGAACCTCCTTGGAGGATGCTCGGGTAGCAACTCCCACCCAGGCAAGCTCGGGAAATGGCCGTGTGTGTGGAGGCCAAGGCCTCTGTCTGGGAGAGGCTGGGAGCCGGGTGGGGAAGGCCTCCGGTGCTGAGAAGGACGGAGCCTCGGCTGCTCCAGCCACTGCTGGCTGAGAGGCCCCACGGGCACATGGAGGCCTCACTGCCCAGTTCCCCCTGACCCAGCCCCAAGCCCAGCTTTTGGGGACACCCCTCTCACTGCATCCCTGTGTGGATTGGCGCAGTGTCCAGGAAGCCTTTCCGCCTGTCCTCGCCTGCCTGCCTGCCCCGGCCCCTCTGCCCATCCAGGCCAAGCCTGGCTCCTTCTGCAGGGCACCCCCTGAAGCCCGCCTGTGCCAGGGCTTCCTCTCTCCCAGCCCCTGCGTGTGGTGGCAGCCCTGGGGCTCTGCCCTTCCCAGCAGCCCTGAGATGGGCAGTGGTCCTACCTGTCTCAGCTCCAGGTCGAACAGGTCCCTCTTCCCGCCCCTGGGGCAGTTCTGGAAGTAGCAGGCAGAGGAGAAGGCCAGCAGGCTGAGGAAGCAGGCGGGCAGCATGGCCGCGGGCATCCTGGCGCAGGTGGGCACAGCGTGTGGTGCTGCTCTGCGGGCTGTGCTGTGCTGCCTCCCTGGCTGCCTATTTATGGCCACAGGTGTTTCCTCTGAGGTGACGTGGCCGCCACCCCCCGCCAGTGGCTCCCCAGGAGCCCACGGCCACCAGGTCCCAAGCCGTCAGCAGTGATTCAGGCGCCTGGGGACACATGTGTGCCTGACTGTGCAGGGGCTGGTGGGGGAGGGCTGCGGGCCTCACTACTGTCACTGGCAGCGGTGTGGCTGCGACGTGGCAGGAGCTGCTGAGGCTGCCATTGCAGCTCTCAGGACTTGGGGAGAGGGACAGACAGGGTCGTTTGGGACTGTCTCCGTATTTTCAGGGGTCTGTGGGCCCGTCTCCCCACATGGCCTCCTGTGAAGGGGTGAGTGGAGCCCAAGGGGCTGGTGTGTCAGGAACAGGGTTCTACCTGGCCCAGAAATGGTAGAAAGGGGGCTGCAGGTCTGCAGGACCCCATCAGGAGGGCTGGCACTGTGAGAGGCCAGCCGACCGAGACCCTCACACAATCAAGGTGGAGTGAAGGGCGCTCTGTGTACTGGCTGCACCGAGAAAGGAGAGGCTGCCTGCAGCCCGGGGACCAGGCCGCCACAGCCTCCGGGGACTGGGGACTGGGCGACGATCCCACAGGGGGTGGGCCAGGCTTCCTGGGGAAGCCGGGGATGCTCTCTTCCCATGGACCCACCCAAAACAGGGTCCTGACACTCAGAAAACAGGGGCCTTGGAGGCAGCTTCTTGACATGTGACCATCTCTCCCCTCCCAGGCAGGAACATGCGGGTTGGGGACCCAGCGAGGGTCAGAGGAATGGGGAGAGCCCCATGGGACCTGACAGCCAGCCTGCCCCAGTTGCTACCCTTACCAGGACCCTACTCTTGGGGATCAAAACAGGTAGCATCCTAGGATGGGGTTAGGGGTGGGAGCACAGGTGCTTTGGAAGCAAAGGAGTGGAGGAGCCATGGTCACACAGACCCAGCCAGGGGAGAGAGTCTTCGGGCCCCACACTACCTCCAGCTCCTGGAGCCCCCAGGCCCTGGGCCTCCTTTCAAGTGTCCTGCAAAGAAGCTCCGGGGAACAGGGCTGCCTCCTCCCCACCAAGTACCACGAGGAGGGGCCGGTGTCCCAGGGAGGGGCCTTCCACACTCAGAATCCGATGTCAAGCTTTGCGGGCACGTCTCCTTAGGGGCTGTGAGGACACCGGAGCCCTGTGGCCTGTTGCAATATGACCACTCTGGTGGGAAACGTCGTGACCTGAGCAGGTCGACATCCCGTCTGAGCCTCGCTCTCCTCCTGTGTGGAGTTGGGTGGATACGGGCGCCCACCTCACGGGCTCAGTGAGGACTGAAACATTGGAATATGTAAGAGCTTTAGAAGAGGACCTGCGCCTGTGTACAGTTAATTATGTGTATAGTATCATTAATGTCACTGTTCTTATTGACAGCCAAAGAGATTTTTTCAGACAGTGCCTCTTTGGGTTAACCCAGGAGGAACATTCTCAATTATTCCTGCCCTGGAATGAGGGCCATTCTGAACTCTCACTGTCCTGAGACTCTGTGGGTTGGTGCCCACACCCAGCACCTGACTCTCTCTGAACTTCAGGCCCGAGTTACCCTCTGAAACTGGGCGGGGTCACACTAATGCAGAGCTCAGGCCTTGGGGCAGACCAGTCCCATCTACCAGCCTCAGCATTCCAAGGCTTGCCACCCACACCACAGCCCCTGGAAGAAAGGGGACAGCGCCTCTGCACAGATGCCAGACACCACCTTCTTGGAACCTGGAAGAGCTGGGAAAGTCTCACTTCTGTGCTGACTGGCTGCATTGGAAATATGTCCCCTCACATGCCACATGGGCCCTCTCAGTAGCCCTGTGCCCTTGTACAATCCCCTCTTATGTCCCCTTCCCAAAGCTACTTTTTCACACCTCCGTCCTCAATCTCCTACACCTCACTCAGCTCAAGATCTTGATTCACCCATCACTGCAAAAGGGAGGATTCAGTTCTTTCCAGTCTTCCCTCTCTCTCCCCCCACACATCTCCTCCACATCCACTGTGTTCTTGGTATAAGGATGACATTGTGGTTAGGTCCGCATTATGAGCTAGACTCAAAGGCACCTCCTAGCTAATCCATGTGGTATATTATGATGATCTTTCCTTCACTGAGCAACTTTTTACGTTCCCTGGAGTTAGGGATTGCCTATGTTTTCCATTGCGGTCCATCTGCCATTTTTAGAAGTTAATCTTTTCTTTTCCACTCTCTCCCCTCACGCTGGTGCCCAAACCAAGCTACTGAATCTCCTGTGATCAAGGTCATAAATTCCTTCCATGTTGCCAAAGTCAGAGGTCATGTCTGTGTTCTCCGTTTACGTAACCTGCTAGCAGCCTTCTGCATGGTTGAGCACACGCAGAGTCGATCCCCGGTCAGGGTACAGACTTGAAACAACCTATGGGTGCATAAAGAAGTGGAACAACAAAACAACGTTTCTCTCTCAAAAAAATGAACAAATAGGAAAATTTCTTTTAAAGATTTTATTTATTTACTTTTAGCGAGTGGAAGGGAGAAGGAGAGGGAGAGAAACGTCAGTGTGGGGTTGCCTTTTGTGCACCTCCAACTGGGGACTTGGCCCACAACCAAGGCCTGTGCCCTGACCGGGAATTGAACCAGCAACCCTTTGATTCGCAGGCCAGCCCTCAATCTACTGAGCCACACCAGCCAGGGCTAAATAAAAGTTTTTTTGAGAAAAGAAAAATGCTGGGCCTTAGCTGGACAGGTATGAAACTCAGTTGGATCTGTACCCAGAGTAAGAAAGAAAAAACCTCACATCTCAGTCAGGTCGCGGGAGCTACATGTGGGTCTTCATCAGATCTCTAGATGGGGTTACATGAAGCTTTAAAAAATCGGAAATAAAAAGACGTCATACAAATTCTTATTGCCAAAAGCAACTATATAAAAAGCAGACCTACAAGAAAAAGTGTTTCGACAGAGTCTTTTCCTAATAAAAGCCTGCACGTCGTCCGTGTGGGTGGACACACTTTTGGGGGCTCGGTCCCACCTCCAGGTCCCGGGAGCGGGTCTGGGTCCCGAGGGGACCAACGGCTGCTGCCCCGAGGACGGACCTCGCTCCCTTTGCTGGGCTGGGGAGAAGGCGGGGATTGCTCGCATCCATGTCCCGCGAAGCAGCGACACAAAAGAGCAAGAGATGCCGCCGGGCTGGGGGGCAGAGCGAAGGTCGGGGAGAGAGAGCAGGCCCGTGGGCCTTGGGCCCCGGGACCCGAAGGGCGGCTGCGGCGGCCGCGGTCGGGCACCGAGGAGACGGGTCTGCTGCGGGCCCGCCCCTCGCCGGCGGCGCCCGGGAGCCCGGGGCCGGGCAGGGCTGCGCGCTGACCGCCGGGGTCGGGAGCGCGGCGTCCAGCTCACTCGTCGCCATCAGCGGCGGCCGCGCTCGGGTCCGAGAAATAGGCCCAGGGCACCGCTCTGCTGGGCGCCCGGGCCCCGGCGTCCCGGCGGCCGGGAGCGCCCGGAGCTCGGTGAGGGCTCTGGGCTGCGCCGGGGGCCCCGCGGGCGAGGGGCGCGGGGAGGCCGCCGCGCAGCGGCCTCTTCCGGGTGTGTTTGCAGTAGGGGCTGCGGTGCGGGGACCGCAGGCTGAAGGGGAGTCCGGGGAGAGGGGCGCAGCGCGGCACAGGATCAACAGCTCGTGTGCGCAGAGGCGCGAAGGCGCAGGGCCCCAGCGTGCCCGTGTGAGTGTGAGTGTGAGTGAGTGTGTGCGCCACACCTCCCAGGACCGACGGGCCGCCCGGCGGGTCGAGCCCAGGGCAACGACGCAGACGTCGCTGCTCGCACTGACCGTGGGGGCGCCCGCGCGCCAGCCAGTTCGATCGATTTCCTCCTCCCGTCAGCACAAACCCCTGAGAACAAGGAGGAATTCTTTAATCCCCACTCGCAGACGGGAAACTCAGGGACCGTCAGGTGGAGGCGCCTGCCCAGGACACGCAGGGAGTGACAGCAGGGCCGGGATCCCGACGGCCCCAGAGTCAGAGCTCTGCCCCGCGGCCGCCTCCGCCCCCTGCCAGTGCCCGCCCCGCGGGCATTTGTAACCCACTAGGTTTCGGGATTAGGGGCCGATGGCCCTGGCCTGGTTCCACGTTCAGGGAAGTCACCCTGGGCCTTCCTTTCCGGCTCCTGGCACCTCCCCCAAGTCTGAGAATCTCTCCTGGACAGCCCCAGGCCCCAGATGGGTCCCTCCTCTGGGCCTGTGGGAGGAGAAACCTGCCCGGCGTCCCCACGCCCAAGCGCTCCAGTCTGGGCGAGAACCTGGCTGTGTGTCCCAGGTGCCGGGGCGCCCCTGAGGTCCACCCCCAGGGCCGGGCGAGCTCACAGAACACTGCCAACATGGGGTTCTGTTTCTGTTGGTGAGGAAGAGGCGTTTGCCACTTCAGTGACAGGCGTTTGTCACAGGCCCCAAGCCAGCAGAGGCTTGTCAACCCTACAGCAGACTTGACGTTGGAGGACCCTGTGGCACCCAGCAGATTGGTCGCCTGTCCAGCCTCACTCAGCCTGGTGGCAACAGAGCCTCGGGGTGAGGAACCCCCAGTCCCCGGTTCCTGCCCCCTCCCGAGCCCGCCGCCTTCACCTGGTTCCCCAGGCCGTTCACCTGAGACACACACGTGGGCTCAGCTCTGGCAGAGGCACCTCCAGAGCCTGGGCTCCCCTCTGCTCTGTGTCCTAGACTGATCGAATCGCTTCCTTGTCCCAAACTGTCCAGACTCCCCACTGCCCTCTGGACCAGGACCAGGCATTTCAGCCTCTCCAAGGGCCCGCTTGTCTGGGCTGCTGACCCTCAACCCTGTCCATTCCCCCATGATTGTAGCCACAGAGGTGTCCCCAAGCCCCAAGCTTATTTTTCTGCCCAGTGACACAGGGCTTCTCTCTTGATGTCTTTTATTTGATTTTTCAAAGACATGATCTTTTTTTAAGTATTTTATTTATTTATTTTTAGAGG